CCCCAAAACCCCAAAACCCCAAAACCCCAAAACCCCACTAAGTGGAAGTATATAAGAAGTTGGTAATGAAATAATTTTTTTAATCAATTTTATTATATTCTGCAATGGCTTAATCTCCTAATAATCGAAAGGACAGCACAAGTTCTCCCTAAAAATCTTAAAATGGTAATATCATATTTACATTCTTTAATCTCATCAAGGCTAATTAATAAATAATGCCATGAAACTCAAGATAATGGCTGAGAGAACCTTTAATAGAATATTTGATAGAAGTAAGAGCATAAATAAGATTATTCAATTCAATTGCTAATGAATTAACTTAGAGTAGAATAGATTCAATGAGCTAGGCATTGAACTTATGAATAGGGCTAGAGTTGATCCAACCAAAATAATGATAAAGTATGCTTATATTTCTAGAGATTAATTCTTGACAGATAGTTCGATGAATTTCTGAGAAATTCCAAGCATGAGGAGGTTGCCAAAATACACTTCAATCACTATAAAAAGAAACGTATTAGTAAGTTATAGAGCGATGTGAATACAAAATAATGATTATAGAGTACCTGAACAAGATAACTCAATTAATTCATTAGGACAACGAGCAGCAGTTTAACATCACTTAGCTGGGCTCTAAGATAGTTCTCTCAATGAACGAAAAGGTGAATTAAGTCTACTAGAATTCTCAGAGTAAAAAATCTAAGAAAAAACTGCAAGAACAAATCTTGAATCAGACAATGAACAGAAGTCAGACATAAGAAAGTAGAAATCTGTATGATAACTCTAATCATCTAGGAATTCCAACAGATAGTCAACACTCAGATTTCCAAAGAAGACAGTCAATATTCAAAGCCAACAATCATCTTAATTCCCAATCATCGGCCAATCAATCCATAGATTAATCTCCATTTAGAGGAGCAAGTCAAAACACCCTAGACCGAAAGCTGACTAAAATTCAATCAAATGGGAATCTGATCTAGAAATCATCTAAAGATATGATAAATTCTTAACAAAATATAGACCCAAACTAGGTCTTCTAAACTGAGATAAATTAAGAGGGATCTCCATAGACTATAGACAATGAGTAGAGTTAGGAAAAACTGGTGAAAAAGAGGAAGAGAAATGTGATTCAAAGAAGGAATATAAATATGAATCAGTCCAGTGTTATCAATAGCAATCAGCTAATCAACACTAGTGATCATTACTTCCAATCCTAAAGTTTTAACAATAGTATGGTGAAGTCCTCAAAGCTCTCTGATTATGATGCATTAACTAGATACATGAGAGCTAGAGAGCTAGCAGAATAAAAAGCTAAGGAGAAAATAGACAGATTAAACTTATTGATAGATAAATGGGAGAAAAAGGATTCTAAGGCAAGAGAGATAATCAATGAAAGTTTACTGGAGAAGAAGATAAGGTTGGACTAAATGAGTAAAAAGAGAGCATAGGCTAAGCAAAAATATGAGAAGAAACTGGAAGAAATAGAGTAGAAAGGAGTGAAAGAGTACTAAAGCTATTTAAAGGAGTTAAGAGAGCGTAAGTAATAAGAGTAAAAATGAATCGATATGGAATCGGAGAAAGACTTTAGCAAGCACCAGAGTTTAGCTACCAATGGCTCAAAACTTTAGATTAGAAATAAATTTGACTCTCCTGCTGTTAATAACCACTATCACATTGGCCATCAGGATACATCCTCAACTTATCTATTAAATGAAGATAAGAAGCTTGCCAATAATAATCTCTCTAGACGAAAAAGTGAGACTAGTCTGAAGCTTGAGCTGTTAGAAAAGAAGATTAATCAAGGCAGAGAGAGGTCTTTCCTCATCAAGCAAGAGGTAATGAAGAGAACTGAGAGATTTATGGGTGAGAAGAGCATCAGCGACCTTAGATGGTCTTAGATGATAAATAGATCTCCTGAGATTAAGATTTAGATGGAGTAAGATGTAGCAAGCAAGCTTTCTTAGTATCTAAAGAAGATGCAGAAGCACGATTAGATAATGACTTAGAAGAGCGAGGACCAGAGATACCAGATGGAGGCCATCCGCTAGAAGTAGATTCAGAAGTTCGATGCTTAGCTTTAAATTAAGAAGGAGTACGAATCCTAGCTAGATAGGAAGCGAAGACATATTGAGCAGTCTCGGCTTAGGAAGGACGAAAATGTAGACTAAGTCAAGTATGAGAGTGAAATACAGCAGCTGATTAAGATTGAGACCTCGAAGTTGAAGACTCAAGACCTGAAGGAGTAATACGAAGAAGTGATTCTAAACCAAAAGATGCGAAAGGAGAAGATCATTAAGAAGCATCTGTAGATGAATCAGAAGATTATGAGTCACAAAAACAGCAATCAAAGTGGCTAAGCAGGATTGCCAAGCACCAATAAGTCTACATATACAACGATAACGAGGTAGCAAGATGAACTGAGGAGATTTCTGCAGATGAGGAATCATGCTTCGCCCTATGATGAGATGAAGCAGAAGTACTTGAAGAGTATGGTTAGTGGGAAAGGCAAAAAGAATAAGAAGGCCTAGTATGATTCCTTTCTGGAGTAGTCTAGTGATAACATTAATAATAATCATTGAATAATTAATCACATTAAATCAAGCATTCACATACTTATGGGGTTTTGGGGTTTTGGGGTTTTGGGGTTTTGGGG